CGTCTTTAATCCCAGCACTCGGGAGGCAGAGGCAGGCAGATCTCTGTGAGTTCTACGCTAGCCTGGTCTTACAGAGCGAGTTCCAGGACAGCCTCCAAAACAATACAGAGAAAACCTGTCTCGAAAAACCAAAACCAAACCAAAAAAACCTAAAAACCCCCAAAAAACAGATGACTGATTTGTAATATCGAATGTCCAAATTAAAAAAAAAAAACCAACATCTTGTACTCAAGATTGTACTTTGGGTCTTTGCTACATCATGAGGTTTATTCTAAAGCTCTGTTCTCTTACACCAATCTTATATGAAGGACTGATGGACATTTGAATTAGTTTAGGGTTCTGATATCAGGTTAAGCAAACTGTATTTGAATAAACTATTTCCAAATACAAAAAAAAAATGAGAAAAGCAGTAAACATCTCCCTTTGTATGTTAAACTTCTAAAAAGATATAATAAGGAATGTTTTATCAGGCTTTGAAGAAATAAATTGCCAAGAGGACACACTATTACACATCAGTAAACATAAACTTGAGGGAAGATGCCCTACTTGCTGTGATAAAGCATTGATAAATCATCCAACCTGTAGTAGGAAAGGGTTGATTTGGCTTACAATTCCATCATGAAGGAAAATCAGGGCAGGAACTTAGAGGTGGGAACTGAAGCAGAGATCATAGAAGATCACTGCATACTGGCTTGCTCTCCATGGCTTGTTCAATTTGTTTTCTAATACAACTCAGGACCACCCACAGTGGGCTGAGCCTTCCTGTATCACTTGTTAATCAAGAAAATATGCAATAGCCATGCTCACAGGCCAATCCAATGGGAACAATTCCTCAATTAATGTCATTTCTTTCCAGGTGATAGTTTGTGTCAAACTGACAAAAGCTAACCAGCAGAGTAGCATACTATGGATAATGAATTTAAGTATGTCTGCATATGCCATTGAAAATTATGTGACATCAGAAAAGGTTAGCATAAGTATTTGTAACATTTTTTCTCTAATAAATACCTTATGTGTTTTGTGTCAAAGCTATTGAAACCACGAATAAACTCAGCACATATATTCCCAAACTGCCAGTTTTATTTAAGAATGGAGACAGGTATCGACAATGAAAATATCAATTCCTACAGCAGAACACAACATCCCTATTTTCAAGAATAAAACTGGAGATAATATTAGAAAGTGAGGGAAGAAGGGAGGAAAGAGAATGATAAACAGAAAACATTTTGAACTGACTCAGGCTTTATTAGTAAATGTTCCAGGTTTCCCAGGCTTCCTCGTCCTTGTTCCTTTAGGAGAGAAACAGAATACTAAAAAGAAAAGAATGATTATACAAATAATCTACTTATGTAGCTAGCTACACAAAACAATTCATCCCTTAATACATGCAGTGAAAATTATATTTTTACTGATAAAAAATGTTTATTCTTTAAGTAGATATAGAGCTAATAAACCTGGTCATGTTTTTTTTTCAACAGTTCCATATATACAGATAGATAAATAGAAATAGATAATGAATTTTAGTTATTTTCACTGCCATTTCTCTCTCTCACCTGCCACCCCCTATCTCTTGAAACCCTTCTCCCTACTAATGTCCTCCTCCAATTTTCAGGTCTCTGTGTATGATCCACTTAATTAAGGTTGATTGTATAAACACAAGCAGCAGTTATTTATTGGAGTTTGGGTAACTTATCAGTGACTACATTGCTTAAGAAAATTGCACTGTCTTGCCCAGCATGTTCTGCCAAATGTCCCTAAGGCCAGGAAGAGGCCTGTCCATGAGGAAATGTTGTGAGGGCCCTAACCTTTGCAAGCTAACCATAGGTGCAGTGAGTTCATGAATGTAATAACTGTCTCATGTCTCCAAGTCATCATTCCTCAGCACATCCCATCCCGTTTTTCCCCATCTACTGTGATGCTCCCTGAGCCTGGAGGGGGTGATGCTGATGTCCTACTTAGAGATGAGCGTCAACAGTCACTTATCCTCATCTACGTTCTAATCCACACTAATTATAAGCGAGAGGCTGCAAAAGCCAGTGTAATCAGACCTTTGATCATACCACTGCTCTTCAATGGAAATTTTTTTGATGTTTTAGAAAACATTAAATAGCTAGTAAAGAAGCAGGACAATCGAGGATGGTTTCTTCTGTGTCTCTAGAACTAGAATAAGGGAACAACAGTATTAGCTATAATATAATGCAATTAGTATAACAGAATAGCTTTAAACCCAACTCTTAGAATTAGTTTCCCATGGCTACCTGTGTGACATCAGACATTCATTCACCTCCTTATTTGTAAACTGTGCTTACTCACTGTTCTATGGGTAATTCTAATAGTTAAATGATTTAACTCAGTTCATTAAACAAGTACCAATAAATGGTAGGTACTTATAATAGGTAATTCTCATGGGACAATTAGCTTAGTGTGAGGTATACTGACTGGGAATCTGAGGAGTACTAAGCAACTACGAGGATCAAATTAGTTATCAGACTCCTGGGTGCAAATTCCAGTTTCATCTGCAGGAGACTAATACCTGTGGACCTCAATTTCCTAATTTATCAAGGGACTAAGAGTGAATCACTCATAAGATTTTATAAAGAGTAAATAAATATACAAGCAATATTTGTCACATAGCAAGCTTTCAAATAGACATATAAAGCAGTAATAACACTCATCATCACATTGTTTAATAAAAATAGTAGCATAATACTATGTTTAGCAGGTAGTAGAATGTATTAAACTAATAGGTAGAGACTGAAGATTTGGGCATCACCTATATATGTAATGGTTTCAGTAACATAAAATGCCAAAAGGATTAACTCTGAACCCTACAAAATAAAAAACAATTCAAGGAGACTGGTTTTAAAAAATGAGAAAATGGAGTGTTACAGAAAGAAAATAACCTATACTGTGTGGTGGCAAAAGATGCTGCAAATTGTGAAGGATGCCCACCTACTAGATTTATAATCAGGGAGCCACATGCGCCACAGCTGTTTACAGAAAGCTGACGGCACAGGGTTAAAGAATGTGCTATGTGGGAAAATTGTGAAGGATGCCCACCTACTAGATTTATAATCAGGGAGCCACATGCGCCACAGCTGTTTACAGAAAGCTGACGGCCACAGGGTTAAAGAATGTGCTATGTGGGAAAGGCATGTAGATAAATTCTTTCTAGAATTTTCTTCCACCTTGGAAGGATAAAAACACCTTGAAAGGAATTTGTTTTCTTTGATTATTGTGGGGAGGGGAAGCTGAGGATGTAGCTCAATGGTGGAATACTTGTGAGGCATCTGCAAGACGCTGAATTTGATACCAGCACAAGAGACTCTGTTCTTCATCAAGCCATTGGTTTCAAAGCCTCAACTTTCATCCTTGTAAAATGTTATATTCTTTGACACCACCCCAACACACACACACCCTACATACACACACCCACACACCCAACACCCACACCCACACACCCAAGACACACACACACCCAAGACACACACACACACACACACACACACACACACACACACACAGAGCTAGCCTCTGGAGGGCCAGCTTTGTGCCTCAGTTTAAAAGAAAAAGAAGCAGTTAACAATGATTCTAGTACCAGGCTACTATTTACTGATAAATGGCTTTGGATAAGGTATTAATTTCACTAGGCCTTTTTTTTTTAATGTCTGAGATCTTAAAATGGCACCTACTTGCTGAAATCTCGGAGAAAAAGGAAATTGCAAAAAAAATGACAGAATCACACGTTGCAGGTGCTCATTAAATTTGCTTTATGCCCATTTAACAAATAATTAAAAAAGAAGATACATGATTAATTTAATATATTTGTATTATCTAGTATAGTTTCATATTTTGAGGCATAACTGAATAAACACTAATATTTAATGATAACAGCAAATATATTACAGAAATAATTATCTTTTAATGTTAAGGTATACTGCAGAAATACAGAATTAATAACTCATATTTAATAACATCACCAAAATTTAAGGTTAGATTTAATAAAACACCCCGGATTCTGTATATATCATTTTATAAAACAATTTTTTATTTTTAAAATTATTATACACGATATTAGATATCATTATACCATTATTTTAAGATTTCCCCATCCGAAGAAGCTTTACAGGAGCTCTTAAGAGAGACTACGCAGAAAAATTAACCGGATTACATTCCCTCCCTCCTCTGAAAAACATGGAGTATGCGCCAGCACATCACGCAAGAAAAAAAGCATACGCACTTGATGATTTCCTCTTTCAAAGCAAAGAAAAAAAGCAGCAAAAAATGTGTTTGCATAATTCAACCAATAAACCAGTGGTAGTCCTCCTAAATACATAATATTCTAAATACTGTTAAAATTTATTTTGGCATTTGAATTTGTTTCAAAATCTTTGAAAAAAAATTCCCCATCCACCTCATAACAATCTTGTCCTGAAAGCTCATGCAATCGTTTATGCAACAGGTGAAAAACCTGTTGGCATCTTTTTCTTTAAAAAAAAAACGGAGAGGGATCATTTCCGCGGATGTTTTTATAGTGACAATAAAGGCCGAGCAAGCATTTGGTAGAATTTTAAGTAGCCCCCGTTCCGGGGAGGTTTACGCAGACTGAAAGGACCCTATCCTTATACTCTGAGTCTTCCATACAGAGCCCACCGATCACTCTCCTTAGATGTAAGTAATTAAGAGAGCTTGTCATTTAGCACCAGGCTGGCATCTAAAAGGAAATAGACTCGGCACGCATCAACTTGAGGAGCATTTCATTAAGCCCGAACTGCGAGCAGAGAGGAAGAGGCTGCGGCCCCCTCCATCGGAGCAGCCTGGACCAGGAGAGCGGGAGAGGTGGCAGAAGTAGCTCGCAGCCGCATCCCTCGGCCGCGCTCGACCTGCCCGGCGCAGGGCTGCCCCGCGCTCCCGGCCTCCAGCAGCCCCCTCGCCGCCGGCCGGGGTGGCCGAGCGCCCGCACCCCGGCTCCCGCCACAGCGCGCCCGCAGGATACTCACGGAGAGGAGCGCGCGGCGCGGCCTGTCCCGGCAGTGCGAAGCGGCTCCCCGCGCCCAGCGAGGCGGCCCGAGGGAGACACCGGCACGGCAGCCTCAACCGCTGGCGACGCGCGCTTTGAAGAGCGGGCCCGGTGCCGCAGTGCGGGATGCGCGCCGCCCGCTGACGTCACGCCCGCCTCTGCCGCGGTTACCTAGGTAACTCGGTCCGGAGGCCCAAGCTCGGGACCTGAGCGAGGCCCCGCCCCCTCCCCGGAGGCAGCCGAACGCCGTCGGCCGCTCGTGCCCGCGGGCTCGGGTTGGTGGGGGGGGGAGTCCGGCGGGCGCGCACTCCGGCGCGGGAGCGCGGGCGAGGGTGGCCGAGGTTCCGCCCGCGGAGCCGGAAGTGGGTCGGGAGCGCTTGGTCTCCCCGTGGAAGACGTGGAGAAGCGCCATGCCGAGGCGCCATGCCCTCAGGACTGGAAGCGGTGTGGGGAGAAGCTGGGGAGGAAGCTGACAGGGCCGCGCCCAGCGTAGAAAACATGAATGAATGAATGAATGAATGAAAATGAATGAACGAACGAATGCAGCGCTGGGCATATATATGTCGCCCAAACAGCTGGCGCTGTTGACTGTGGTGAAAACAAAATTTGGGAACGTCACGTTTTCCAGCGCCTCGCCCCCCCCCCCTTTTCTCGAGTCTTCTTAGGCGCCATCTTGGGCTGTGAGTCACCAGGAGTGGAAAAACACTGGGTGCGTCATTCGCTCCGCTAGGGTTAGAGGCCCTTTTCCGCGGCCGTCCTCCCACTCAGCCTGTTGGGTCCTTTATGCGGCTGGCGGCAGTGTCGCGGGCCAGCCTTTCCGTTCTCACTGGTGTCGTCCTGCCTAGCAGAACAAATCTCACGTGGCTCTCAAAATGCAATGGAGACCCGGGGGGAAAGTCACTAATCTGCAGCCTGCCCAATTGATCTGGGTTTTCCACGGAAAAATCTCAAATTTCCCCTCCCAAATATCTTGATTTAAGCTATCACCATCTCTTCAGTGTTTTAGCAAGACGCCCTTAGGGGTTTCTTAGATTCTTTTTTTTTTTTTTTTAACCAAGTCTGTATTTTCAGTGTCCCCGTTGTGAAGCCTATCCATCATTGCCTAAGGCAAGCTGCCAGTGTATCTTACAGGGAACTGGCCTCCTTACCTGTGTCCTGTTTTAACCACTAATTTTCTTTCACTCCACTACCAGACTAACCGCTAATGTAAAGTTACCATCCTCCTGTTTTTCCTTCTTCTTTTTTGTTAATTTTTTTGTTATTTATTTATTTCTGGTTTTTCAAGACAGGATTCTTCTGTGTAGCCCTGACTTTATCACTGTAAGCGTTTTGTCGGGATGGGTCAGGACAGGATGGAACAGGAGTGGGTCAGGTATTCTGGCACTCGGGAGTCACAGAATACCCAGTGTTACACAGCTCAGGTGGAAAGGTATCCTGGAGCTCGGGAGCCAAGGATACTGAGTGTTACACAGCTCAGGTAGAAAGGTATCCTGGAGCTCGGGAGCCAAGGACCACCACAGGTTGCAGTAAGCTTGGCAGTTTACAGCCTTGCCTCAGAGAAAGGCTTCTCTGGTGTATCAGCTCCGCTCCAGCAGGACAGGGTCTTCCAGCTGGGGATGTTCGCCTAGTGTAGCAGTTTTGCTCTGCAGGAGGTTTCTCGAGCGAAGTTGCTACAGTTCAGCTCTGCTCCTGGAGAGCCGAGCGGAGAGCAGGGAGCCGGACAGGAGCAGAGTGTAACAACTCCGCTCTGCCAAGGAAGGTTTCCCAGGCACAGCTCTGCTCTGCTCTGCTCTGCTCTGCTCTGCTCTGCTCTGCTCTGCTCTGCTCTGCTCTGCTCTGCTCTGCTCTGCTCTGCTCTGCTCTGCTCTGCTCTGCCCAGGGTCGCCTCTGCTTGCTCTGCTCTGCTCTGCCCAGGGTCGCCTCTGCTTGCTCTGCTCTGCTCTGCCCAGGGTCGCCTCTGCTCTGTCGCCGCCGCAAAAGAAAATCTTCACCGGAAGCTCATCCAAAGGGGTGTATTGAAAGGCAGCTGGACCAGCCAAGCTGAACATACACAGGGTTTATATAGGGATTGGGGAAGTTTTTCCAGAGTAGGGATTGGTCCGATTTCAGTGCTGAGCTCAGATTGGCTAGAGCTCTGCTCTGGGATTGGTTACTTTTTTACACAGGATTAGGGTCAGATTTGGCTCTGGTTTCAGGGCCAAAGTGTGTTTCTTTCTCTGGTCCTTTTTAGCCTTTTGGCTCCAATTTTAGGGCCAGGGTACATTTCTTTCACTGACTCTGATTCCAGGGACAAAGTGTGTTTCTTTGGCACTGGTTTTAGGGTCAGGGTACATTTCTTTGGTTCTGGTTGCAGGGCCAAAGTGTGTTTCTTTGGCTCTGCTCAGGGTGTGTTTCTTTGACTGGTCCCTTTTCCCTACAATCACCCTCTGTTAAGAATTACTTCAAAGGAGAAAAATCTAACCACTCTGCCATGGATACCGATGTTCCCACCTCGCTGGGTTTCCTCTCTCATCCCCTTCCTTTTCCAGTGTTACACAATTTTTAAATTATGTACATCATGAAATAAGCAACATCGAACTATATGTTGGTCATAGTTTTATATATTGAACTATGTATGCCATGGTAAGCAGTTTACGCCCTTTCCAGCCCTGGATCCTTGGTTAATTGTCCTCATCTTGAAAATCTTTCCTTGTAAACTACCCTCAAGCAGTGTCCCTTCTGTGAATCTTAGTAAGTTTCCTACTAAATTCTCTGAGCATTGCAAATATGCCCACTTCACTAGACTGTGGGTACTGATTCTATATATGTTCATCCACAGCATGTAATCAAATAGTACCTAATGAGCATCTGTTAGATGACTGATGAGTTTCTTCTAGAGCTGTACATTGTATACTTTTCATATATCCACATAGCTGACATTTAAATTCCCAGTTTCCCAGTTATAATGTTAGTTGTTTATTCTTGATCAGATGTTTGCAGAACACGATTGGCTGACGTCCACACCAGTAACAGCATGCAGAAGTATATATAGGATGATGGGTGCTTGCAGATGTATTGTGGCATGAGAGAGTGTTTCTGGCAGAAGTGACATTTAAAACCTAATAACATATACAGCAGTTGGGGTTGCAAAGAATTTCCAGGTAAAATGATCTTTGTATTTCCTTAGTTTTGCCTGTTGAAGATACCTAGGAGCAATGGAAAACTAGAAACAAACATTACTTTGGCACTGATTTTTGGATTTGTTTGTTTGTTTTGACACAGGGCCTCCCATTTGTAGCCCTGCTTGTCCTGGAATTCTTTATGTATACCAGACTGGCCTTGAACTCATGGAGATTCTCCTACCTCTGTTTCCCAAATGCTGAGTTTAAATGTGTGTGCCTCCACAGTCAGCTGTTTTCTGAATTTTATCATACAAGTTTAACCTCCATAAGCCCACTTTTGAAGTTGGCACCCAAACTATCTATCATTGTATTCATAATATGTCATCATCATCCACTATAGTCTCCTATTCATTTCATATGCAAAATGCATTTAATTCATTTCTTTAGAAGTCCCCATAATCTAGCATTCTCAACACTATTCAAAAGTCCCCTGAGACATCAGACAAACTTAACTGTAGGGCCCCGTAAAATAACATTACCAATCACACACACACACACACACACACACACACACACACACACACACGTAATTAAATACAATATTTGTTAAAGATAGTGTGCAAGTGTTTCTGACTCAGGAACCTGGGTGGACAATGGCTACTTGGTTAACAACACAAGTCAGAAAGTAGTGGTATCAAGATGTTTAGTTTTAGTAGACTATATCCAGCAAGCCTCTGAGTCTGTGCATCAATAAACACATTAATTAGCTCAGCCACATGTACACAAAATCTGCAACTTTCGTTCTTATCTGGGAGAGCAAGGCTGATATCACTGCTGTCCTAAGAGAAGCTGGAGCAGTATAATAGTAATAAAAATTGACTACCACTCGGGAAAGAAAATACTATATATGTGTATACACATGAGTATGCACATACATACTTTCAGGAATGAAATTGTTTAAGGGTATTCAAATATTTGCTAAGTAGTGAATTTTATTAAATAAAATAAAATGCGTAATGGAGGTCTTGGTTGTTTAGTTGGCTTACAGTTCCTTGCCACAGTCCAGTGTGGGAAGCCGAGGCAGGAACTCAATGCAGGAGTAGCAACTGAAGCAGGAGCCATGGAGAAATGCTGCTCATTGGCTAGTTCCCTTAGCTTGCTCAGTCTGTTTTCATATACACCCTGGGAACACCTGCCTAGGAGTGGCACTATCTAGAGTGGACTGGGACCTTTGACATTAATCATTAATGCCAGATAGACTTGTTTGCATACCAACCTGTTGGTGGCATTTTTCTCAGTTGAATTTCTGTTCCCATCTAGTTAGATTGTGTCAAGTTGACAAACAAACAAACAAACAACCTGGACAATTGATGTACAAAAGTTTTAAACTGTGATAGGATATCCATCAACCAAACAACCAAACAGACTTTACTACTTGTATTAGTGTGCTAAGGTATCAGAATTAATGAATCACATACTGGGCGACTTAAAGAATAGAAATTTGTTTTTCCATAGTTTTGGAGGTTAGAAATTCAGGATGAACATGTCTGTAGGATTTCTCTCTGATGAGGATGTCCTTCTGTGTATATGTTTCTCTTATTGGTTAATGAATAAAAACTAATTGGCCGATTGGCCAGGCAGCAAGTGACATAGCTGGGCAGAATTAGGATATAAGCAGGGACAAACAGGAAATCGCTCTCTTCTTCTATCTTCTTTTCTCTGTGGAGATGTTGAGCAGTTGTGATGTAGCAGGCAAAGGAGTTGCAGGTCTGGTAAGCCAAGACCACGTGGAAATACATAGATCATTAGAAATGGGTTAGTAATTAAGATAGAGCTAGCCAGTAAGAAACCATAGCTAGTGGCCAACAGTTTCATAATTAATGTAAGTCTTGTGTGTTCATTTGGGGCAAGATGGCTGACGGGAAAGAGCACACGTTACATCTTTCCTTGGCTCTAAGATGGCTATCTAAACCTGCCACCACTCTATCTGATTGTGTCCCAATGTCCTTTAAGGGTTCAACAAT